TGGGAAAGGAAAGGATTCTGATTTCAACCGTTGCGTATATTAGCTGAAACATACGAATCAAGATGCTATGAACGGAACATTTTGATTGACAGATGACCGTTGTTATACGATTGGCCGAATTTAGGTGTTCAGGCTGATGTAGAACTAACTGGCCTGAATAAGATAATGAAAAAAAAAAAAAACACAGAGATCAAGACAGGATTTTTTTTTTTAAATAGAAATGTTCAAAATTTTAAGACAATATCATCTGATAAAGAGTAGATTTATATAAATGCCAACATGATTTGACATTTAAATATGATTTCCCTACAACAAAATAAAATGGAGGGCAACACGGATATACATCTGGATGCGCAGGACGGATCATGCTTCCCGTATGGATCGGGGTAGTGACAGGCACCTTTAAACTTCCACTTCTTTTTAGTAATTGGTGTGTTTGGCAACATGATAAGTGACCTTTTTGATCCTGTTCTCCACTGAGTCAGTGTTATGCAACACTTTCAGATAAGATTGCTTGCTCTATGCCAAAAAAACATTTTTTTTATGATGATAACTTTTATGTCTTTTTACATCCTTTTTCAAAAGCACCACATCCTGCTTTCTCTTAGATCGCTTATTATCACTTCAGTGTTTGCCAGTAAAGGATATTGATCTTGCAGGGGGTGTGATGTAGTAAAACTAGGGGATTTCTCAGAAATAACTATTTGTTGCAGTCCTTGGAGCATTGAAGATCAGAAACCAGCTTGAAGTCTGTGCCTCTTGGGCTTCCCACCTCCCTTAAACAGGCCTAAACATGTCTGGAAAATGAGTCTTCAAACAAAGTAGCTCAGTCTGGTTTGTGTGTGAACTATGTGTGCAGGAGCAGGGCATGAAGTCCCCCTCTGCCGTGTCCGACCAGTGGGGCTCCTACTTTGTTGACGTGCACAGAAGTGGAGGGGGAGACGAGGAGCACCAGAAACTGACCTGGTGCTGTCACTGCATCCACACATACAGCACCATGGCCATCCCCAGTGTGGAGCACATAGCTGGTAAGTTGGTCAAAACATGAAAATAAGTGTGTAGATTTAGGTTTGTTAAAAAAATTAAAGATCAGTGAAGGACGCTGACCGCTGCTTTCTAGGCAGGGGAGGCAAAGACTGGCAGGGGGCCCTCTGAATTGAGAAGACAACACATAAAACAGAGCCATTCTACAGATAGAGAAATGTTAATAGAATAGACATCCATTATCTGTTCTAGGTTGTGTCCCTCTCTTCTTGTCCCTTTTCTTC